AAACAATTCCCTTTCCGTATATGCTTTCAAATTGTAATCGATCTTTTCCCCAAGCACACCTTCCTAGTAGATTTTCATGATATCCTAAGGATTAGTTTTGCCATACAAAAGCCCACTGTTGTTTCACACTACCGTGATATATGAGTGAAACATGGAAAGAAAAAACTCTTTCTCCAAATTTGTGATAGAAAACTTACCGACCATGGCATAGTGATATTTATGTGTTGTGTTGGAGCTTCCTCGAATCCGTATACCACATCTGAGTTACCCCAATGACCAGTGACCGTTTTACCGTAGATACATGGCCCAGAATACGGTTTTGGATCGGTCAGTGAGACCGGAATCCCAAAGGGTTCTAGGCAAATGTGAAACTCTAGCGAGCAAGTGGACTGACACTGAGCCGTGTCCTCACTGGGTTTTCCGCAACATTTCCCATCCATTCGACGTCTACCACGATTCTGAAATTCCATCAGTTTTATAGAAAATGTGGCCAAATGTGGCATATCATCGTTTGCTTCGGTTGTTAAATTTCCCCACAGTAAATAGCATATGATACACAGGCATAAATTCCAAAACATGTTTTGAACGCTGATTTGGTTCAGAAATAGATATCCATATGTGTACGTGCCGCAACAGAAACGAATTATTCCGTTTCCACTTCACGCGATCCGTTGGGATTAAAATTCACAGCTACACACCATCACGAAGGGGTTGCTACGCTAGTTTGACTTTTCCACCAATCAGATTCCAGTCTCCCTATCCCAGCAACCAACGCGGACAGACATGGATAAAGCCAGCCTGTGTTGCATGGGTTGGGTGGGTAGGATAGAGCGTACCGACTGGACAAATACGCTCAGGACGAGAATGGGCATGCTACACCAACACCCCCGTAGCGAGTGAACCAATGATCAACGCTCTGTAGTGGAATGTAACATGAAACACGGCCCCCTTTTGTATCCCCGGTCGATGGCAACCGGTGGTTTGCATGACACTATGGAAACTGTCCCTGTACGCCTGTATAACAGTGCTAGTAAATGTCGATTAAGCAAGCACCTTCGGAACGGATATAAATTTGAAATTTGGTGAATTCTGCACTGTTATGCTTTTGCATTCTAAATTCATGAAAACTTTATCTTTCGTGTTTACGAAGAAGCATGTTATCATGTCTTTGTCAAGAGACAAAGGCAATTACTTTTATGATGGTTTATTCAATAAAAAATGGAAATCACACAAGATCATATTTCCAGTTTTTCGATGTATATGGGGAAAGGGAACTGATCAAATATTATTTGCTATTAAAAACGCTTGGAAAATTCCGGTGAACTTGTGTCATGTGTGTTATATCATCGTAGTATGATTTGGGTCAACTCTTGGTCTACGATCCTTCCTGTGTCCGTCTTCTCCTCTGCGTCTAAATACAGGTTCATGATTTTACTGCTTGATTTCAAGTGAGTAATGGAGGATTTGATTCAATTTCAAAGGTGAATTCGTCGTGTATATAGCAAATGAGGAGTGAACTGAAAAGCTCGGAAGCACTGGACAGCTGTTTCGACCGGGTTGGGTCTCATCAGCAGTGCGAATCCATCGACCCAATTGAAGATCGAACCCGGGACCTTATGGGCAGAACGCAAGGGTGCTACCCACTCCGCCACCGGGCAGCTGATGAGACAGTTTTTCATTTTCCATTTACACGGTATAGCACAACCTATATGTGACTGATTTGGCTATTGTCCTTTGCTGGCACCATAAGTTTATTTCGATTTTTTTCTGCACACTTTTTGTTTTTGTTCCCGCCAGCTTCCGCCATGTAGATCACAATCACACTGTAGTTACGGTCTCTTGATATTCTGCTCTAAACCGGATCGGTCTGTGCTCTTTGATTCTTATGAAGTAACTGTACTTTCGTAAGACCTGCACAGTTTGCCGAATATGATGCGCAACTGAGCGAATGCAAATGTTTACTGGTCCGCACACGTTAACCAAGCTTCTACATTGGAAAAAATCTAGGAGCACATTAGTTTCGAAAACCTATCACACCTGGAAATGTATCAGAAACTATCTAATGAAATAAGTACCAAGAGTTCAAATAAAGTTTATTCAGGTATTATTCATATCTTATTATTCTGTGAGGGAAGGAGTAACTTAATTTCACAGGCAGTGCGAGGATTTGATTCAATTTCAAAGGTGAATTCGTCGTGTATATAGCAAATGAAACGTGAACTGAAAAGCTCGGAAGCACTGGACAGCTATTTCTACCTGGTTGGGTCCCATCAACAGCTATCCAGTGCTTCCGAGCTTTTCAGTTCACGCTTCATTTGCTATATACACGACGAATTCCCATTTGAAATTTAACCAAATCCTCCATTACCCACATGATATAACTACATTAATAGAAAGTTATATGGCAGAAAGTTTGTCTTTCTCAGATTTCCTCTATGGGTACATGAATACCGTTTAAGACTTATGTGCCTCAAGGATGAGAAGCCTACAGAAGCCCAACGAGCGAGGCTTGAGCGGCACCTATGGAGTGGGCTTTGTAGATGAATAATAAGAGGTAATTTGGTTGGACTATTTAATGAAAGAAGAGAAAATTCCAAACCCATAAGAAAAACTTTTTAAAAAATTGTTACGGACAGTTGTGGACAGAAGCAAGTAATTTATACATCGATTTTCCCGGAGTAGTACCGTTTGTTATTGTTATCAGAATCACTGCC